GGGAGTAGCATGACAGGCAAAGGCACTTGCAAGATATTATCATTTCCTTCATGATGCTTGTAAGATCTGTGTGAGATAAAATATATGAATTAGGATTGTCCAGTACAGGATGCTAAGTCATCAGTGTCACCACTTTTCAGTGATAGTTGACATCAAGTCAACATGAGTGAGTGCAGTGTGAAATTTAACTGTGTCACCACATAGCTCAGAAATTCTCATCTCTCCACATCCAATGCCAAAGCATGTTGTGACTCAGCTTATCTTTTACGCCTACTCTTCTGGTGTGTGTTCTCTTCTGGAATGAGAAAAAGAAGAGACCTCACAGTATTAGAAATGGAATATTTTCAAGGGGTTAAAAAGACAATACTTATGGAGGTCACTGTGCAGGGTGGGTATAACATTGCATTAAGGTGATGGTGAGAGAGAATAGTGTATTGATATGGGGGTTGTGAAGAGGTGCCGAGGTAGAGATGAATGGTACATCTGCAAGATGTGTTAGTATGAGGTCTGATGTTCAGGATTACACTTAGGAAGGCAGAAGAGGCTTGGGGTTAGATACACATCAGATATACCGAAAAGTGCCATATCACTCATTTTTCCTGTCCTGATTAGGTCAGCAAGTCTCTTCTGGTATAGTACCCAACTGCATGGCAGCACACTCTGATTTCTGACTGCCTCAGACACTTTCAAACATGTCATATTATTTTCTGAGGCAGGCAACAACTTCCTGTCTTCATTGTCTCTAGAAAGGTATCATTGAACCATTTTGCTATGAGTTCTGATTCTACCTGAAGACTGATACAGCAATCCAAGTCTGATTTTTGTCGTGTCTTGTTTTAAGTACTTGATTTGAAATGGACTGTGGATCCTTATCATGCCCACTCACTCTATCAGATAAGGAAACTGGGAAGGTAGATGCAAATGCAGCAGCTGGATTTAAAAGCCACTGACTAATATACTACTGAAAATGTCAGGTTCCTGCTATGAACAGATGTTAAAATTCAACTCTCTGGGGTTAATTCCAGATTTCTGCAAATTGCTTGTCATTTTTCAGCTTGACAAGAAATCAAAACCTTTGTCATTGATGCTCCAAGGATCTCTACTCCCAGCAATTGATCAAACTACTGTCCTCCCACAAGGGTGCCTGATTGCAACTGCCTGCTATGCTGACAAGAAAAGACTATGCTAAAAAACAATAATTTTCACCTCTTTCTCACGTTCACATGGTCCAAATCTCATATACCGTTCATTTCATAGATACGCTGCCTTAATAGCTGAGGACAGGCTACCAATATTCATTGTAAGTCCACCGAGGACCGTAGCTACCTCAACACTAGTCCCTCACATCCTGCCTCCTGTAAAGACACCACTCAATTCTCCGAGTTTCTCTATCTCTGTTATATTATAATAATGCTATTTTTCACAACTGAGCTTTTGATAAGTCTTCCATTTGCCTCAACTAAGGATTTCACTCACTGTGTTTAACAGGAGCCTTAACTATACCTGACCCAGTTCCCACTTACCACTTCTGTTCCCTCACAGAATTCTGATAAGGTTCCTCTTGTCTTCACCTACCACCCCATCAGCCTCCAAATTGGAAAAAAAACATACTGTCATTTCTGCCACTTCCAGCACGATTCCACGACCAAACACATCTTCCCCTTCTCTCTACCTTCAGCATACCAAAAAGACTGTTCCCTCCTTGACACCTTGGTCTAATTTTCAACACCTCCAAAACCTTGTTGCCTTTTCACAACATTTTCCCATGCAACTGCTGGAGGTTTGGCACCTACCTTTTTGCCTCCCCTGTCTCCATTGTGAAACAGCAAACTGTCTTTCTGGGGAAAGCAGCTTCCAACTTAGTATTTTGCATTTATCCCTCACAATGTGATGTCCACGAGACTATAGGAAATAGAAACAGGAATAGGCTATTTAGCCCCTTGAGCCTGCTCCAGCATTCGACAGGATCATGGCTTATCTGACATTCTGCCCCAATAGCTCTCCATCGCAAGGAGTTCCACAGACTCTCAAGCCTCAGAAGGAATTTTTTCTTATCTCAGTCTTAAATTGGCACTCCTTTATTCTGAACCTATGCCTCTGGTCCCAGACTCTCCCAGGGGGGAAAGCATACTTTCAGCATTTACCCTCTCAAACCCTATATATTTCAATGAGGTCACCTCTCATTCTTCTAATCTCCACTGAATAGATTTCCAGCCTATTTAACTCATAAGACAATCCCTCCATATCAGAGATCATCCCAGAGAAACTGCTTTCAATGAAACAATATCTTTCCTTAAAAAAGGGACCAAGACAACTCTCAGTGCTCCAGATGTGGTCTCACCAGTACCTTGCACAGTTGTAGTAAGACTTCCCTACTCTTATACCCCTTGAAATAAGGGCTACCATTCCATTAGCCTTCTTGATTACCTGCTGCACCTGTGTGCTAGCTTCTGTATTTTGTGTACAAGTACCCAAGTCCCTTTGTGTTGCAGCTTTCTGCAGTTTTTCTTCATTTAAATAATATTCTATTCTTTTGTTCTCCATTCCAAAATGAACAACTTCACTTTTTCCCACCTTATATTCTATTCGCCAATATTTTGCCCACTTTCCACTATCTCTGTGTAAACTGTCTGTATCTCACTCGCAATTTGCCTTTCCACCTACTTTTGTGTCATCTGCACAGAATGTCTATGGTACATTCACTTCTTTCCTGCAAGTCATTAATTTATATTGTAAACAGTTGTGATCCCAGCTCTGATCTCTCTGGAATCCCACCGTCAGGGGTCGCTAACTGGAAAAAAAAACCCTTAACCTTTAACCTTTACAACCCTTAACCCTTACGAATGACAACACCGTCCAGTCGCGAACCACTTCAACTCCCCCTCCCACTCCCTGGATGACATGTCCATCCTGGGCCTCCTCCAGTGTCACAACAACGCCAGCTGGAAACTGGAGAAGCAGCACCTCATATTCCACTTCGGGAGCCTACAACCCAATGGTCTCAATGTGGACTTTACTAGCTTCAAAATCTCCCCACCCCCCGACCTCATCCCATGATCAACCCTCCCTCTCATCCCCGCCTCCTTGACCGGTCCGTCTTCTCTCCCACCTGTCCGCTCCTCCCACCTCACTGACCAACCCCCACCATTGCCTACCTGCACTCACTATCACCACACCACCTGCCTTCCCCAGCCCACCCCTCCTCTCTTGATTTATTTCAGAACCCCCTACCCCTCCCCCATTTCTGAAGAAGGGTCCCGACCCGAAACATCAGCTTTCCTGTTCCTCTGATGCTGCCTGGCCCGCTGTGTTCCTCCAGCTCCACACTGTTATCCCTTATCCCCAATCGCTGTTTCCTGTCCATTAGCTAATTTTCTGTCCATGCCAATATATTACATCCAACACTTTTTATCTTATGATTTCACCTTTTGTGAGGTACCTAGTTGAATGCCTTATGGAAGTCCAAATACAACACATCTACTAGTTCCCCTTTATCCATTATGGTTGAGACTTCTTCAAAAAACTCTAATACTTTAGTTCTCACCCTGTTGCAATGTTCTGGGAAACACAATGGAAGTTTGAGGAAGTTCACCTCATCTTGTGAGTGGACATTTTACAGCTTTGTGTACTTAATAATGAAATTAATATTTCAGACTATGTATTCTGTCCTCCAGTTGTTTTTTGTGCAATGTGCTGGTTTTCATGCCTTTGCTTTCAACCAGATCTGTTCATTATTCTGCCATTAACACTCGTTCTGAACTAATGGTTTTCTTTTTTAGCTTCATGGCATCATTGTCATTCAATTTCTCCTGCCCTCTACTGTATCCTAGATCCTTCCTTTTGTTCCTCCTTTCACTCCACCCCTTTAAAATGGCATGAAGTCTATCACATTTCTACTTTGCTTCAGTTCTGAAGAAGAGTCATGTTTAACTCAAACTTACAGAATACTGTGTATTCCCAGCATTTTCTTTTTTTTCCTGTCACACAACTCTTAGATTTCATTGACTTAAGTGGAAAGGATAGCTCCAATAGCTAATCACCTCCCTGAGAAAGAACTTGCCGACATTCTCAGTAAATCTTTGTTCTAGCAGTTCCAGCCTTAAATTAGAAAAAATATGCTGGATTTTGGGGAATTAATTCTTGGAATATTCAATCTAACTCTGTATTAGTGATATGTAATAATTTACCTCTAGACAAAAACAATAATCAAAGAAACAGGTATAAGGCAAGTGTGCATTATTGTGGGTGCTTATTGTGGTGGCACTCTTCAACCACTTAAAATTTTGGTTTGCATGTAGTGGTCGACACTGTACTGAGCTTTGGCGGATGCTCAAGAGCCTCAGTCAGGCACGTGCTCACTGTAATTGAATTACATCACGTATTTTTCAAAACAATTGCCTGAAAGCAAAATCCTTACAACACAAAAATTTCAGAGTGTTCTTCAATGTAATATCTCAGAAGCGATCATATTTTCCTATATTGAATGACAAAATATGTTCAAGCTCAGATGGCACCTCAACATAAATCTTAGCTATTGTTTGATGCACTTAGGTTGAACATTTTTCATTGCATCACAATTAACTGTTTCAGATGATCATTGAAGATCAAGTGGTTGTACCCAGGCAATACCTATTATTTAGTGTAGCAACAGAGCACATTATTCTTTAATTTATAACAAAATGCACATTTCTAAGATCAATCAATATTGATTAAAATCTTAATACATACATATTATTCCACATAAATGAGTAGAAAATGCGTGTGTTACAAAAAAGTCAACAGCTTGTGAGCTATTTAACTGTCAACACTTTGAAGTTGTTTTGTTTAAGAAACCACATACCGAGATGTGTATATTAATTTTCAGAGATGATTAATGGCTTGATTAACCAAAGCTTAAAATTAAAGGCAATTAAGTTCTCATTTACAACATTTTCCATTTCTCCCACAAACCGCATTGCACGTTATAGTTGATTTCAATAAATAAATGTTGTTACCCTTACCTTAATGAAACGAAGAACACAAACTGTGAAATCGAGAGAATGAGTCCTGTTGATGGAAGATCAATGATGAGGGGTTTGGAGGAATACTCTCAATTGCAACACCTGCAGAAAATACAGAAAAAACTTAAAATCATTTACTTTACACAGTCATTCTAGAAAACTTGAAGCTGTAACTTATTTCACATTTGAAAATATGTCACATCTTGTTTAGATGTATTTTCAGCCAATCAAAAGTCTTGCAATGTTACTTGAACAAAACTGGCACTTAAAAAATAACATTCCTTTGTACAATACTAAACACAACATGTCTTCAAATAGTTAGGTTATCCAGATTCCGAAGCATCAATCCTGCTAATGTGACTGACAGAACACACGAACAAAACGTAGGAGCTAGCAACGTTAAAAGGGTTAAGTGCACGCTGAGTGCCTCTTACCGTCCCTGTATTGATGGTGCTAACATACAGATTTGGAAGAAATGGCTGATTTATTATTATGATGAGTCAAACCTGAATTATTAAGCTTTTGTTCTCTTTCAGTCCTTTTGTGAATCTAAGTCTTAAGCAATCTTAAAAAAATGGTTCTTAAATTCTGAAAGTAGATGTCTGTGATGTAGACTATATGAATAGTATAGAAAACTTAAAAACCCAGAGAAGTATGTGAGATGTTTAAACTTGCAAGGTGTGATTAAAGGATCAAAATTGCAAATGTTTTCACCAAAAAAGTGATCAACATTTGAAGTCCTTGGTAAATGTGTGCAGCTGAGTATGATGGAATCTTTTAAAACCGATTTGATGGTGGAATGGGGACTATTTAGAGTCATTCTGTGTGGATGGTTAAGTTAAGCTGAACAGAGTAATGTTCCATATCTGTGATCATGTTGCCAATTTCCAGTAACGCATTTTCTGCATTTGTGCCAAATTTCAATATTGCTTGTTGACATTGTAAGGGAATCTGATGAATGGACTAAACTGCAGCAGAAATTGTTGACTCAATGCATGTCCAAGCACCATGATCTACTAAAGAAGTAGTGATAACGTCAGCCTCAACACAGCAATACCGAAAACAACCTTTAAAGAAAATAATGTCACATGCCATTAGGAAATGCACACAAGATCTCTTCTAAGCTACTGAATACTTAAAAACAGAGAAATTGCACAGAAATAAACATAAAAAGTAGCTGAAGATACAGAATCATTCACAACAATTTCTAACCAAGGATGCCTAAAGATGCTGTTGAGGAAATGTGCTTAAAGGAGGAGTTTGAAATTGAAGACATGAAGAAGTGATGCATGAAGAGTTCAAGAGAGGAGGGGATTGACATGAAGACTATGCTGCTGACACAGCGTATAGAACAAAGGAAGCAATTCTTAGAACTCCATAATTAGAAGAGTGAATAAGATGCACAGGACACAGCATTGCAGGAGATTGTCAAAGCTGCACTTCTGGGCAAGAATTTAGAGTTTTGAAGCTAATGCATTGTTTAAAAGAAGCATTGAAGGCCAGCAAAAATAGCACATAGATCTTATATGGGAGATGATGGAGTTGTTTGAGCTCTGGATGATTTGCAGTTTATATAGGGAAGAGCTTGGAATGCCAAAGAGAAGAATATCGGAAAAATTGAGAATGGAAGTGAAAGATGTAGAATTTGGATTTTCAGAATTAGTACAAGTGAGGAATGGTTGGTGGTGGGCAATTTAGAAGTAGGCAGTATTGGTGATGAACTGGCATGCATGATTGTAAATAATCTTTTTATTGAATAAGATCTATTGTGATCTACAGGCATGTTTTTACAATAGATCTTATTTCATTACCGTCTCTTTGTGGGCTGCTGTTGATGACAACGATTTAGCATAATTTTCCATTGGTTTTATATCTGGTCATGAAGTTCCAAAACACAACCAGGGCTGTACAAATCCAAAACCTGCCGCTTGACTGATACCAACAAAACATTACATGTTTCAAATAGATTGTCTTTAATGACTTGATCCAAAAATGATAGTTTTACCATATTAAAGTTGTCTGATAAATAAACCAAAACATAGCCATTCCTTTTACCAAAATACTATAGTTGAACAGTAAATTTAGATTAAAATAGTAAATGTGAATTTATCATGCAACCCCAAAGGCATAGCAACCAACATGCAATTAACTAGTCTCCTTTTAGATCTACCTGGCACTGATAGCAGCTGTACCAGGGATGACTTCTATCCAGTTTGTAAGATGCTGATGATAGGAGGGGAAAGGAACGACTATACCACACAGATGGCCTCACTCCCCAAACAACAAGCTTGAAATTACATCCTGGCTTAAGCAAAAAGCAGTATTGTGCATCAAAGTCATGTAGAGATACACTACTTGCCAGACCATCTGCCCATTCAGCAGCCGGAAGCAGAATATAATGGACAGGCACCAAGATAAGTATGCTCATGTTATCACTAATGTTACAGTTCAAAGCAAGTACAGATAAATGCACTCAAGGGCTAATCAACTGCCAAACCATCATATCATAATACAGAACTATTTAATATTCCAGCAGACTCATGCTCAAAAATAGAAATCCTCCATTTTCAAGAAAACAACACATACTAAAATGTGTTACATCCTTTTCGATAATGTCAGAAGTAATGGCCTGCATTATAAACAAACGGCCAAAATCATAATAGAAATGATCAAGATATTCAAAACTGTAACAATAATCTTGAAATTCAAGTGCAATTGTTAAAAATTGAGTGTCATTTTCTCTTGATTAAGAGCATAACCAGGTGGCTATGATTTAGATCTGACGCCCTTGATTACAGCTAGGACTATAAATCAATCCTGGGCAGGACATAATCTCTTATCTATCAAATCAATAGCTTCTCCTACACTATTTCATTCGTTTCTTATTTAAATTATTTGAATGTGAAATTAAACACATGAATCCAAAAGATAACAGAAGTGGCAGAGAAGACAGTTCCATTGATTCGATTGGCTGGCCTACATTAAAAAAAAATGCAGCCCTCCTGAACTTTAGAGTATTGCTTTTGATTTGAAAAAATAAAGGGCAGCCAAAGACAATTGCAAACAAATAAATGTAAATGAATGACAAGATGTAATAACTATAACTGTGGGGGATTTTATTTTACTAGAATTACTTCAAGGGTAGATGCATGCATCTAACCCCACTAAGGCCACTCACAAGCAAAAAAGGAATGAACTCTGAACAGCTAATAGTGGTGGTGCAGATCATATTAATGGCTTCTTCAGTATGTTATAGGCACCTTGCTTCAGTGTATGACTGAGCTTCCAGTGTGATGTGAAAAAGCATCATCATGCAGGCACATAGATGTACAGAATTACTTGTTACCAAAATAAAACCATGCATGATGTCAAATACAAAGTTACCATTGATGTCTGAGAAATCTTAAAATTCTGAAAATGTCTGAGGCTTCAGATAATAAAACTGAGCAACAGTTAATCAAGACTGTGGAAAGAACCTACACACCCTAATTTAGTTATCCTTTGAAATGGATTTGGCTCACAATTCTTCACAGGACTCCCTTTATAGAACTATTGGTTTGTGCAAATCCAACATTTTCCAAAGTCCTGCAAGTTACTGATGACACAGTGATGCAGGAGTGTTGATTAGCTTTTACACTAACAAGATTTGAATACTATGGAGTATTACATAAAAATCTCAATGATTCATAAACACCATACATTGACCATTGACTTGTAATAAATCAATAATTTGGTGATTTGCCATGATGAATGAGACTGAAAGAGTATTTGCCACAAAGTTGTATAATACATCAAAAAAATCCACAGGGAGAGTTTTTGTTTATACTTTAATCACAAACAATTACGCTGAGGAAGCCCTTCATTACTTACCTGGGCTAGCAGCACTGAAGACTATAGTAAGATAAGATTCCATGAAGGAGCAATAATTTAAATTGAGTACATCAATTATAAATATTTTCCCAGATGCAATCACCATCTATAAATACATTTTGTTGTAACATAGAAGACTGTAAAGGAAATAATATAATCATGAAATTACACTATAACTTTTTCTTTTCTCCTTGTTCGAATCAGTAACACAGGAGTGGATCACTGGATTTTCATCCAGTGCTGGAATAAAAACAAGCTTGAAGATTTCAATAGTTTTTTTCAAAATTTAAACTCTGCAAACTAAGAACATTGTTATGATGAAAAGAATGAAAGGCAAGGTGATTCAGGAAGTTATGCAGACATGTTATGAACCGTGCATTTTTTTCTGTCTTAAGATTACAGGAGACAATCTCTGAGGAAATTAAGGATTTCACAAATTTCATCAAAGTTAATGACAAGTTTGAGTAGACAACTTTGTGTTACATTTTAATTTTAATTTTAATACATGGAGGGTGAAGGAGAAAAGACAGCCTGTGAAACATTGTAAGCGCCAGAATTCTGCTTTCTCCAGTAACTAGAGCAGAAGAAATTGTACCTTACTGTGATTGCACTGGCAGCTAGATTAACTTTGTATCATTTATTTCTCTCACTAGGTTGTGGCGAGATGCCTGTTAAAAGGGATTATAGAGTCTCACCTCATTAATATGCAACTTTTCATTGTACCATGGGATGGATAGAAACCAAGCACAGAATTCCTGACATAGAAGCCTGAATGGGTACATGGCAACTCAAGTTTGCAGCTTGTTCCTTCGGACCACCATCTTGAACACCCAGCAAATAATAGGAACAAGAAAGTATGTAATACTATACTGGCATTGCTAAAATTCAAGTAATAAATGTTGAAACAAAGAGAAGCTGGAGGCTAGAGGTGAGAGAAGAATCAGCTGACAAGACCGTTCTCCTTCTAGTTCAAGTATGTCAAAAAGATGCCAAATAATTCGAAGTTGTTCAGTTTAAGTCAGTGCTTGATATGAAAGGCGAAACCCAGCTTCAGCATGAAGGAGATGAAGCAGTTCTTGGCCAGCGCAATAAGGAAAAGGGAACAAAGTCATTAAAGTTAATAAAGCGATAGCTGTTGGTTAGATTGGTAAGAAATAGAAAGAATCATCCTTGAAGAATTGAAAGAAACAGAAATTGAAGTGTATGGGATAGATCAAGATTTAGTCATTCAG